GAATGTTAAGATTATGGCTGCAAACTTTCTAGGAGACATATTTTTATCCCCTTACCTGGAGCTAAATCCTTAAAAACAAATTTCTTTTAATCTCCTTTTGCTAGAGGTCAGATTTTCCTCCATCTCTTCTTTCATTGAACATGTGATCTTTGGGGGATTTTGGCTTTATGTAAAGATCTCAGTTCTAACTCTCTACCTTATATGGACTAAAGCTTGTCCTCTGTCCTCCATTTGACTGCTAAAATTGAGGGTGATTATTTAGCACAACCAAGTATTTTTTTTTTAATGTTTTTATTTATTTTTGAGACAGAGACAGAGCATGAGCAGGGGAGGGACAGAGAGAAAGAGAGACACAGAATCTGAAGATGGCTCCAGGCTCTGAGCTGTCAGCACAGAGCCCGAAGCAGGGCTCGAACTCATGGACTGTGAGATCATGACCTAAGCTGAAGTCGGATGCTTAACCGACTGAGCCACCCAGGTGCCCCAGCACAACCAAATAATCTAATTTAGCAGTGCCAATAATGTTACATCATGAACCTCCAAATGTGATGAAAAATACACATCATTCATGTGGCATTTTTAACAAAAATGTTTGACCTCAATCTAATCATGAGGAAGAATCAGAAAACTTCAGACTGAGGCATATTCAGTTAAGCATTAGACTCTTGATTTCAGCTCAGGTCATGACCTCATGCTTTTGTGGGATTGAGCCCTGTGTCGGGCTCTACACTGACTGTGCAGGGTAGACTTGCTTGGGATTCTCTCTGCCCTTCTCTCCCTCCCTTTCTCCCAAAATGAATACTTGAAAAAATAATAAATAAAAATTCATTTTTTTTTTTTTGAGAAGTTAAAACACGGGTCTTACATGTGTTTTCTCGAGTGAAGCAAATACCTGAATCATTAATGATATAGCTTAAAAGAAGACTTTGGAAGCTCAGTTTACTTTTTGTAAAGCTCAAGTATCTGACATCTATTTTATAGTAGTTTGGGTCTCAGTTAAACAGAGCAAGGGAAATAGATATGGAAGTACCCAAGACAAATGTGAAAGAATGGAAAAACAGAATCTTAAAGATTTAACTAATGATTTGTTTAGGAAATGATGTGGAAGATATAATAGTAATAGCCTCCATGAAGATGTCTATATCATATTCCCTGGAACCTATGAAATTACATGTCAAATTACATGGCAAAGAGGAACTAAAGATGCAAATAGAATGAAGATTGTTAACTAACTGACTCTAAAATCGGGAGATTATCCTGGATTATTTGGGAGGCCAAATCTAATCTTAGGGTTTTTTTTAAAAGGTTTAGAGGGTGGCAGAGAGAACCAAGTAGATGGCAGGGTGAGATGGGTTTGGCCTGCCATTGCTGGCTTTGAAGAGAGAAGGATGGGGCCATAAGCCAAGGAAAGTAAACCTCTAAAAGCCAAAAACACACAGACAACACTCCAAAGAAACAGATTCTGTCAACCCTGTCAGCCCTGTCAACACCTCAATGTTAGCTCAGTAAGAACCATTTTGGATGTATGACCTCCAGAATTGTAAGAAGATAAATTGTGTTGCAATACACTAGTAGGTTTGTGGAAATCTGTTACAGAAGGAATAGGAAACTAACATGGATGGATACGTAGGGAAGAAATCACCAGAAATGATTCTTGGAATGAAGGTGTAACTTACAGAAATGGAGCAGTTTCACCAGGAAGCAGCTTTGGGAAGGGATTAATTCTGAGCACTAAACTAATAGGAGAAGTCCAGTGAGTGGTTTAGAGTCAGTCTTTGGAGTTAAAGAGGCCTGGTTCTTATTATGGCCCTGCCTTTTATAAGCTGTTCCAACTTCATTGAGATACTAAACTTTCCTATGCTTCTACCTTTTTGCCTGAAGTGAGGATAATAACAGCACCTACTTCATAGACTATTATAAAGAGAAATAAATGATAACTTATGCAAGGTCCTTGTGGTTGGCTGGCATGTGCTCAAATGTTGGTTATTGAGAATGATGATGATGGTGATGATACAGAAGGCACTTCCTGTGTATTGTTTTTTAGTTATTACGGGCCATTAAACAAGCTTAACCACTTGTTTTATGAGTAAAGGATCAGTGTAGGGATAAAAATGGAAATTAAATTACCTTGCTTTCTTGTTTAGAAGGGATGCCAGCTGTATGTACTATTTCTGCTTGAATTATTATTCTCTGGACTTGTGCATGTATGCACTCTCAGACTTAAAGTTAGATGCAACTATATCCATTTTCTAGGTTGATATTTTGCTCCTTTTTAAAGCCAGACCTCACATTTGCCCTCATAAAACCTACACAGCTGGCCAAAAGTCTGATGAGATTGCTATGCTCCAGGAGTGCTCGGATTGGGAAATAACTGTATCTTAATCCTATGCCCTGGACCCACAGAAGGGTAGAAAGCGTATAGTCACAGGAGCAATTAACAAGAGATCCAAGAGACAGAGAATAACAGAACTTGGCTAAATAGGATTTATTATCACTTCATTGCCCTTCTATTTAAAGCTCCACACTCACCTAGAATGACCTATGCCTTAAAGACCATGTTTTCTCCTTGGAGATGGAGTTCTTCCTTCCTGGGGCTAATAACAGGTATTTGCACATCTGTTAGTATATCCTAATTGCTCATGAAACACAAAGTTTAGTAAGTCAAAGTGCCTGCTCTAGAAGAGCTCAAGTCTGGTGGGAAACCGGCACCCAAACAACAAATAGCAAAAAACCAAAACAATTTCTTTGTTTCAGGAAGGATGACACCAAGTACTTCCCATGAACTGTGGACATTCATGGAACATAGGTGGCAGCATGACAAAGGACAGTTCCCCAGAAGAAAGTGAAAACAAAAGCGCCTCTGGTAAATAGGAAGTCTGTTTTCCAACTCTAGCTCTCTACTGTCTTTTTGTGCATTAAACTCTACTCTGCTTTCCCAAAAGCATATAGAAAGGAAGCCTGGGTGGCTCAGTCGGTTAAGCGTCCGACTTGAGCTCAGGTCATGATCTCTCAGTTCATGGGTTCGAGCCTCGTGTCAGGCTCTGTGCTGACAGCTCGGAACCTGGACCCTGCTTCGCATTCTGTGTCTCCCTCTCTCTCTGTCCTTCCCCTGCTCGTGTTCTCTCTCAAAAATAAATAAAACATTAAAAGAAATTTAAAACAACAAACAAAAGCACATTGAAGATAAGCCACAATCAATAGAACACAGGATTGTAAAAGAACACTGTTTCAAATTCTGAGAACCCTACCTAACAGACCTCTGGACTATTACTAGTTTTTGGCTATTGCGAATAAAACTGCTAAGAACATTCATCTACAAGTTGCTTTTTAGGCATATGTTTATATTTATCTCTCAAAACCCAGAGCAGAATTTCTGGGTTACAAGGTAGATGTGTGTTTAGTTTAAACCTTCTCTTATGGGGGCACCTGGGTGGCGCAGTTGGTTAAGCGTCCGACTTCAGCCAGGTCACGATCTCGCGGTCCGTGAGTTCGAGCCCCACGTCGGGCTCTGGGCTGATGGCTCAGAGCCTGGAGCCTGTTTCCGATTCTGTGTCTCCCTCTCTCTCTGCCCCTCCCCTGTTCATGCTCTGTCTCTCTCTGCCCCAAAAATAAATAAACATTGAAAAAAAAAATAAAACATAAATAAATAAAATAAACCTTCTCTTATGAGGGAATCAGCAGTGACAGTGAAGACAGAGTTTAAGTAAATATAGGTTGACTAAAAAAGATTGTTATTTTTGTGATCACATTAAATTTTTGTCAGGACCGCAGTGTTATTTAAATATTTTGGAAATCTTCTATCCTAAGTTCAAGCCTCAAACTGGAACTCCTTCAAATCAAGGAGAATGTCTTAACTGAAAAGATGTTAGAGTGTTATCATTTTTCAAGTGTTTGCTCTTCTGGATCCATACTCTGCCATTTTGTGCCAATACTAATAATGCATCTCACACCTCTTTTAAATGGAGTCCTCTGTGTTCCCACACAGAATGGTTCTGTTTGGTTGGGGAAATTGGCATAAAAAGAAGCTCAAACCATTGACAAAATCACTGGGATTATACATGATCAAAAGCTCTCTGTTGACTCCCCTCATCAAAACACTTTTTTTTTAACCAGATAAAAAATCATCATATCTTTCATTCTGAAGGAGAACTCTCTCCACAAATCACCTTAAACATATTCTAGGATTTTATCCACTCTGTTTTTATTCGTAAGACATTTGCTTGCAACCTAAATGGTCTGTGATACATGATTTCCAAAGTGGTCCTTCTCCTGCTAACTGAATTAGATGCCTCGCGAAAGATGACAGCAATACCAAGTTAGCTGGACTGAAAACAGATACTGCTAATCCAAATATCAACCAACTTCCTAGAGACACTGAGGCTGCTGCCCATATGCGTTAGAACAGAACCAACAAGGACCGAGGGTGCCATCCACAGGGCATCTCTGGGCCTAGGCTAGCAAACCATCAAAGCTGAGATGTCAACACCCCTGCATGGTTACCTTTTAATGAGGTTGTATTTGCATATATTTCAATAAGGTTTCAACCTTTGATTAAAGGGGGGGAAATAAAAAAAGGTTTAACTTGTCAGTCCAACCTTCCAGCAATAGGGAAAACTGAAACCAATTGTGTCTGTTGGAAAAGTAGAAAGAAGACTATTGATTTAAATAGGGATTTTAAAAATTCAAAAGGGGGACACAGCACTATCGGCTAAAATAAATCTAGGGATGCCTTTGTGTTTATGGCACCTGTCATCAGAAAATCTCAGTGCCCTTCATGGCAAGGCCCTGAGAAAAAAACCTTTTCTCAGTTATAACTATAAAGAAATTGTAACAGAGACTGAAAGAAAAATCCATGTTCTAGTCAAAGATTCTCTTGTGTATTTATAGGAAGCTTTTATCTAAAAGTCAAGTCAGCATATTCTTATACTGAGAATTCAGTGGAGTCTACAATTTCCAATACATTCTTATATTAACATTAGGCACTTGGAAGACATTCATCGTTTTATAAAAAATTTATTTCTCTGTAAATACAAATTCCAACATCACAAACAATAGTCCAGTGGAAAAATACTTAGCCATTAACATTGAAAACTTTTTTTAATTTAATAAATAGAACTTTGGCATTCAAAATTCTAGCTGTAAACCCTATTAGAAAACAAAAACAAAAAAACCCCTTTACAAAAAAAGAGGCAAGAATGATAGATCAGAAGGCATAAGCCAACCAGTGGCTTCACATTCTCTTTACAATAACTGTATTTCAATTAAGTCAAGACCATTTTATTTACACATGAGGTATTCTGGGTGGTTCAAAAACTGAACCTAGTTTACAAAACCACCAGTCACAGTGACTGATTATACACTCTGCTGTGCTTTTAATGTAACCACCTAGCACCTTACTACTTCTTGTCATCACACCAATGTGATGCCAAATTTTATGTTTCTGTATTTAAATATTTATACACATATGTACACACATATACACACAAATAACTACATTCCGAAGGAGTTTCCTGCTCACTAGACTGGGAAAGGGCTGGGCTCCAAAGACGTATCCGATACCCTCTCAAGTTTCCTAAAGTATTTACCTAGTAATGAAAAACTGCTCCTTGCTTAAGAAAAAATCCTTAATCAGGTCTATTTACAGAAGAACAAGGTGCAATAATCATCAACATTCTTATAACTCATGTAAAATAGAAATGAATGCTTACTGCAGGCAAAAAGGCACAAAAGGTTCTCTCTGTATGCAGCTGCAAGTGTTGTTAATGAATTACTGATTTGAAACTACATTAATATACTCAATACTTTTAAATAAGAAAATTCTAAAAATCCAAAAGCTCTCCCCCTTCATGATTAAATGTATAATATTATCATACAGTAATATGCCACCATGGCAACTTGGGGTAGGTTAGAAATTATACTCTTTATAATCAAATAGGAAATCATTTTTCTCATTTTGTGAACACCAAAATTTGCCCAAAATGGAAAGAAACAAAATGAATTAACTTTGGCTCTGAGAGCTACAGCTACTGGCAGTTTCAAATGATATAGTCTGAGCAAGGTTATGAGAACTGCTTCTTACTATAATTACATATCTACAACGATAGAAATTTACATAACAGAATACCAATAATCCAAACTAAAGGTGTGCATGAGCTGAGCTTTGCTATGTAAAAATATAGTCCAAGTTCTCTGCTGCTAAGTTATTCAATGAACTATTACTGATATCGAAAGAACATTTTCCCAATACAGATTTCTTTGAAAATATCCTCTAAGAGATTTCCATTAATGTCTTGAACTATGACAAAATTAATTTATAAGCTCATTAGTGAGTCAGAAATGTACAATATCCATTTTAGCAACACTTTCCGGCCCTTGAGATTGTCTCCAACAAGTTACTGAAAGAAGTCTAATTCAGTTTAATAAGCTGTCATGACCAAAATAAGTTTCACTAAAAAACAATATTGTTAATATTAAATATTGAACCCCATTTCAAACATAAGAAGGGGCCACACTTAAAAAAAATTCAGGCATGACTTACCCAGTCAACACTTGAGCTTTTAAAATTAGAGGCCACTGAAAATTTACTAAGTTAAACTAAAGTCATCCTTTTTGGACATCAAATGAAAAGACAACTACTGTGCCTTTGATTCAGTTAATTTTATCTGCATAGGTAACTGGGTCTTTTATTGAGATACTGTTACTTTATCCTTGCTTTAGTGTCACTGGGGCAGAATAAACTCAACTTCAAAACCCAGCAGATCAATAATAAATGTTAATACTGCATAAGACATTTCCTAAGAAGACAAGCATTTAATTCACAGAAGCATAATTAAAATTTTTTCACATATAAGGAAATTTTCAAATAGATTTAACTTCAAAATTTAGGTTAATTTTCATCTCAGATATATATCAGTATAATAACTTCTAAGAACATCCCAGTTTTAAACTAGGATAAGACACTACAGTGTTTTCTATCTGCCCATCTTACTTGACCTAATAGTAAAATCTTCGCTTTCAATGAGATATCACTATTACTACATTCTAACACAAGAGGTTCTCTAGGGAGAGGACAATTTTCTGAAAAATAAAATCAAAATTAAATGCTGACAAATTAGACTACTACTAGTTTCATTACCCCTCCACCCCCAATTCCCTCCAAGGCTTTCTACTTATTATTTAGGTCCCTTCACAAACTCCAGACTCCAAGAGATTACATTTTGTAATTCAGAGTTATACCTGAACTATCACATCTTATTTCCCTTTTTTATTTATGGGGGAGTATACATGTTGGAAACTGAAATACATCAGTAGTTTGTCAATTTTTTACTAAGTTAAAACATTTTTATCTCAAGACAAGTAAATTAAGTCAAATTCTGTAAGTTTTAGAAAACTTGTTTAAAAAACCAAATTATTTTATCCTAAGCCAGAAAAAATGTATCTACAGTATATTAAAACAAATGACCAAAAGTTTGTTTAAAACAACAATAACCATAAAACCCCAAAACATATACTAAAAAACCTCAAAGACATTAAGAGCCGAGTGACCCAAATCAGTGATGACTTATGTGCATTAGCACTATCACCTTAGGGTGCCTTTATTTCCCAAACCGTGGAGGCTGGGGATAAGGGTAGGGATTTCTATTCAGAGAGAATGTAAAAATGTGTGCTGCATATCTCTTATCTTTCTCAGATGTTATTATCTATTTTACTGTAAAGGCCCATTTTTCTAGATACTTTTACAAGGCAGAATTCTTTGCATCAGATTTTTGGTATAACTTTACTGCTCCCTGATTGTCTTCAAACCGCCAACATTAAGAAAACAAATGAACACATTAGAATGCCACGTTCTTACCAGTGACTTTTCCTTATTAAGTTAGGGACCTTGGGATGCAGAATCACTATAACGCACTGATTTCTTAGTGCCCAGATCCTAAGAAGCAAGAGTAAGGAATACTCAGGCACTGAACAGAAACAAAGTCTGATGTCCTTACAATGTATTATAACTGACTGTTGCAACATAACCTTAAAATAACTTACTGAGCACTGCATATAAGCCAAATTTTGAACTGAATGTCTTCGTGGGCAGTTTCCTTGAAGTTCTTATCCCACATATGTTTTCACTGCTGAAAATATTTAAGAAAAATCTTTTCTAGGAGCAGCCTTTATACCAGTATTTAAGCCTGGCAAAAAAACCCAAAACAAAACAAAACAAAACAAAAACCAGACACATGATCTGTTCTTGCCCCAAACAGTATTTTCCTGCTTGATTACCACCCCTTATTCCTTCTCTCTCTTATTTAGTCTTGACCTGTATGAGACCTGGTTGCATCAAGAAAACAAACCAGTTTTTAAAGGACAATGATTGCTATAAGTATTCAAAAGAATGCAATAAATGCTCTAAAGGCATTAAAATACATAGTCCTTCCAAAATACCAACTAAAACAGGAATATACTCATTTGGAAGTTTAAATAATTGTGTCTACTTAACAATCAGTTGCATTTCATAGTGATATCCTGTATTCCTGAAGAAGAACTAACCTGGTCAAGTTTGTATTCTATGAAAAACCCTGTTTTTAATGTACTTTACTTAATAAATGGAATTGAAACATCACCTGGTTTAAATTTTATGTTAGTGATAATTCAGATATAAAGAATACAGACTGGCTTTTCTTAAAACATATACTTTATGTTTTAAAACTTTAAAACATATACAAAACTCCTGAAATGTAAACGTTTGAGAATTGGATAAATAAACTACTGTTCCAGAGTGACTTTTCAGTTAATCCTTCTTTTACAACAGCCTTAGAAGGTTTGCATTAATTCTTTATGGCTTTGTTTACATTGATATATGTAAGTAAATAGTAATTGTAAATAGTAAGGGACATGTTAAAATTAGTTCAGATTATGTTAAAATGCCTTGTGATATATAAATTACAATGCTAATGAAAAAGATCATCACATCAAAATTTCATACCTCTAAGGCAATCCACAATCACTCTGGAAAAATAGCTGACCTATCTACAGTACTAAAATCAACCCAATCCCACAACCTCATCATCTCAGCACAGTGGTTGTTCAAAATACAAATGGTTTTGCCAGCTGTACTACTATTAAAACACTTGTCTGCTGTTGAATACTCTTGTTCAGCCAGCCCTTGAAAACCCCAAAGTACAACACAAGCTTCTACATGAAAGAAAAGAAATACAAGAATAAACAGTGTGTGCCTTTCTTAGAAGCTTTGCTTTGACCCTAGAAATCCTTATAATTTTGTGAATAACACACATGCACGCACACACGCGTGCGCACACACACACACACACACACACACACACACACACACACAATTACAGATAAAAAAAAATCCTACCCCATTATCTGAAGGGCACTCTTCACAGCTTGGTCCTACAATCAGTAGTTTGAGAATACAGATTTTTTTTTTTTTTTTCTTAAACACTTTATCACATTTTTCAAATAGTAAGTCATTCTTTTGGCCTGATTAGATGAGCCCCTTTGAAACCTCATCAAATCCCCTTTCTCACCCCAATAAAACAAATTTATGGAAAAAAATCCTATGTGTAAGCGATATGTCACTTGTGACTTTCCATTATGGCTCCTAAAAGGAAATATGAAGAACTGTAACACAGCAGCATTTAACAATGGGTCATTATTGCCGTGGGACCAATAGTTGATCATTGGGTAATGCAGTTGTCTCCCATGTCCTGAGCATAGCGGTCTGATATTGTAGTCCTTAATTCGTCAATGTCCCTCCGTAACTGGCATACATCTGACAATTTTTTAGTGAGTGTCTCTGGGCTGTAGTCATTCTCAGTCTCTTCAGCTGAACAGTTCATTGCTGTGGAAATAAAATATGGAGAGAATGTCTCAAACTTTTCCAAATAAAGTCACTTTAGGATTTTTAAACTTAATTATAAGTAGAAATATAATGCCATATGCTGAACACGAGTCTGGCTAAGGTTTAAATTATGTATCATTCACTATTAAATAGATCTTACTACTTAGTCCTGTTAAAATTTTGCTAATTAAGTCGCATTAAACCTATATAGTAATACAAATGTTCAACATGTTTAAAGGATGACAGTATTCCCAAAGTAGGAAAAAAAATGCTCTAATAGCTCTCATCAAGCTCAACTACAGCATTCATTTCTTCTGACTTGACAAAAATCTGAAAATCACTTCTGTTTTCAGGGGTGATAGGTTAAATTTTTATAGACTGCAAAGTGGGTTTATTGGCATGGAAACACAAATTTCCAAAACATATGGTAAGTGTATATATGTGTGTGTGTGTGTGTGTGTGTGTGTGTGCGTGTGTGTGTTTACACAGTGTTGAAAGCCTACAACCCCACACAATTGAATTGAACTGATGGCTAGTTGCCCAATGGCTGAGTAACTGAGGGTGAGGCCCTGAGTCAGCTAGCTTTAATTATTTTCATCAGTTCCTTTCTTTGTCAGCACATCTCAACCTAAAAGCAGACGGAGCCAATAACTGTAAAGTAAGTCTTTCCTTCTACCATCATTGGCACTGGTAGCTTACTGGAGGCATAAGAGTCAGGTTAACTTATTTGTTATTTTAACAAACACTAACTGAACATGATCCAGGCACTATGCTAGATGCTGAGGCCAGCAAAATAATGGATGTAGTGACTTATTCTTAATGATTTACATACACTTTCATAAACAAATAAGCACAGTCAAGTACTGTGAGAGAGTCAAGTACTTGTGCAAGTACATACACAAGCTACAGTGGCACAAAGAAGAGGACAACAAGCTTAACTGGAAAGGGTACAGGTTCACTGGATAGGCCAAGGAAGCAGAATGAACAAAGGTATGTATAAAGGCAGAAAACCAAAGAATCTGAGGAACTTCAAAAAAAAAAAAAAGTCAGTAACCAGCTCTAAAATGGGAGAGTACAAATTATGAGAGGAAAGTGCCACAAAACAAGGCTGGAAGAGGCACGTGGGAGCTGCCTATCTCTATTTTGGGGACTGTAACTATTAAGAAATCAGAATCACCATTAGGTGAGATGACCTCTGGAAGCAATGTGAAAAAATGCATTAGTAGGGGAAAGTGGGCTAGACAGTGCAGATAAAGGAATCTGAAAGCTTTATTTAAGGCAACAGTGCAACGGAGATGTAATGGTAGGAATGAATGCTAGGAAGGACCGGTAGAAATGATACAGCCTAACCATCATAAGTTGGGTAGGGATTAGGGACTAGGCACAGGAAACACACAGATAAAAGAAGGAGCAGGATGGAAGATAAAATTCTAGGTTGGGATGATAGGTGGATGGTGGTGCTACTCACTGAGAGGAGGAGCAGGTTTAGGGAAGGAAGAAAGGTAGTTTCTGTTTTGGATATAGTGAGTCTATGATGCCTGTGGAAGAGCTGGTTCTAACGTAAGGTTAGTATAGTCAAGATCCCAGAAGGAACATTCTAGGCAGGGTAAGAGATAAACGTCCATATGGGTCAAAGGTACGGTGCTAACAGAAAACTAAAGAATGTGGATAGTATTACTCAGAGAAAAATATACAAAAAGAGAAACAAAAGCATACAAATTGTTGAGGAAGAAGTAAAATTTTCACTATTTGTAGATGACACTACTTGCAGAAAGCCCTGAAGACTACCAAAGAATTGACAGATTAATTCAGTAAAGCCACAGGATCTCTCTATAGAAATATAGAGAAATATGTTGCATTTCTATGCACCAATAATGAGACAGCATAAAGAGAAATTAAGAAAATAATCCCATTTACAATTGCATCAAAAAGAATAAAATACCTAGGAATACACTTAACCCATGAGGTGAAGACTTGTACACCATAAACTATAAAACATGGATGAAAGATATTGAAGATGACCCCAACAAATGGAAAGATATACTGAGCTCATAAATTGGAACAACGAGTATTGTTAAAATGTCCATACTACTCAAAGCAATCTGTAGATTTAATGTAATCCCTATCAAAATACCGACATTTTTCATAGAATTAGCACAATACTAAAATCTGTATGGAACTACAAAAGATCCCAAACAGCCAAAGAAATCTTGAGAAAAAACAACAAAGGTTGAGGTATCACAATCCCAGATTTCAAGGTGTATTACTACAAAGCTGTAGTAATCAAAACAGTATGGTACTGGCACAAAAACAGACACATATAGATCAACAGAACAAAGAGCCCAGATATAAATCTATGCTTATATGGTCAATTAATCTTTGATAATAGAGGCAAAAATATATAATGGGGGAGAAGGACAGTCTTTTCAACAAATGTTGTTGGGAAAACTGGACAAGCTACATGCAAAAGAATGAAAGTGGACTGCTTTCTTAGACCACACACAAAAATAAACTCAAAATGGATTAAAGACCTAAATATGAGACCTGAAACCATAAAACTCCTAGAAGAAAACATAGGCAGTATTTCTTTGACATCAGCCACAGAAACATGTTTCTAAATATGCAAGGGAAACAAAAGCAAAATCAAAATGTTGGGATTGTACCAAAATAAAAAGCTTTTGCACAGCAAAAAAAAAAAAAAACCAAAACAAAAAAACCCACCAATAAAACAAAAGACAATCTACTGGATGGGAGAAGATACTTGCAAATGATATATTTGATAAAGGATTAATATCAAAATATATAAAGAACTTATACAACTCAGTACCAAAAACCCCACAAATAATCCAATTTGAAAAAAGAAACAAAAAATCAACAACAAAAGATTTATGAGAGACACCAATATTTAAGTGGCAGAGAATTCCACAGAAGACTGAGACTAAGCAGTCATAAAGATAGAAGCAGAACCTAGAGAACCAAGTCATGGAAACCATGGTAGCAGGGCATGTACAAAAAAGGGTGGGATGAAAAGCATCAATGGACAGTGGATGGAGTGAGGAGATTCAAAATGGACTGGAGATTCAAAATAATCCACTGGTTTTTGACAAGTGAACAGTCTGGTCAGATTTTCACAGTACCAAACTATAAGGTAAGGAGTATAAACTTTAAATACTGGAAGGGGTATACACTGGGAGGTGAATGTGGCAAACTTCTTGAGTCTTCCTTTCATTCACATTTGGAAATCTCTCTTAATCTGATAACTGGAAAGGTTGACAAATACTATACAGGAGAATACAAATGCAGAAGGTTACAAAAGAACTGAAGGCGTGACCAGCTCTAAAATGGTGAAGAAAATAAGTCTTTTGTGTGTGAGCTTTTGGTTGCTCTGAGAGATCACTGCTAACTAAACCACCCCATGTTCACCTGGCAAATTCTCCCTCCTCTAAGATTCAACCCAAACACCAGCTACCCACGGAGTCTTCACAGCCCTTCCCAGGTAGACTTAATTAGTTTTCCCTTTAGGCTCCCACCATCCTCTGTCCATATCTCAATTATAGTACTCATCACAGTGCTCTAGTAGTTTATGTGTGGGCAAGGGCAGTGTTCAATTGTATTATCAGCATCTTAGTACCTGGACCGTATAAGGCATTTAAAAATTACTTCCTGAGTGAGTGAATATACTTAAACTTTCAAATATTTTTTACATACCCACACTCATGTGTGTACATACACATCTGTGAAATGGAAGGGAAAACTCTACTGACATCTCTGAGCACAGTTACAGTTTCATTTAAAAAGGGATATACTTTGATCAAAAGTATTACTTGGTTTGCCAAAACAACTATCATGATGCCAGATGGTGGAATCTTTTTGATGAAACTGCAAATAAAACTAGTCCCCAGTCTAGTTACATTATTAACCCTATTATTAGATAATTGCTCAATACAACATGGTAGGTGCATAATACTTAAAAGTCTTACTCCATTCATGTCTCTTTACTTATGTCCATTTCTTCTGTATTAAAAAGAGACCAACATATGTCAATATCATAATGATTCAGAACCACAAGCAGAGATGTGTGTTTCTGCAAAAGTAGCACAGAAGGACTCTAGGATATTCCTGGGGCAGCTCTCTCGCAACTATGTGTGGAAGAAGATGGAACTGAGGGATAATGGGTGGGTGACACACTGAAAGGGACAAAGTCAGAATGTATGCATGACAAGGGCAACAGATACATGGGCCATGAAAACCAGCTCTTGTGACAGCACTGGTACATACATTAAGTCATTGCCATAGAACATGCACTGCACAGGAAAACAAATGAGTATCTTTTCTCAAATAGTTTAACGCAGACAGATGGCTGGGTCATTAACTTAGAGAATTACCACATGAAAGCAAACAGAATCATTGCTTTTAGAAGAGTAACCAGGAAATCACCCCTAACTACCACTCCAGTCACATAGTAACAGATTCAGCAGAGCTCATCCACACAGGCAGTCTGCCAAGTGGCAGTCTGAATCAACTATGAACCTGATCACTTCTATAAGGATAATGAAGTAATAACGGTTATTTACACACCTACAGATTTATTCAGAGATTTATAAATCTAAGTAGGAAAGGACATAAAAACAAACAGAAAAAAGGCAGTCAGAAATTCCTGATTCATGAAGACAGGTTTCTAATTGCTAAGCGATATAGTAAGGACAAGGCATCAGCCACTTACATCTGATTCCCAGTAATAAGGAAAGATTAGGCTCCTTGCCCTGAGCACGCTGATTAAGAATACTACACAATGCCTTCAAGTCAAACAAACAATAGGACATTTCCTTGAACAGCTGATCAATCACACTCAAATCAGATAGTGGCCATTTAGTGAGTACTGTCTGCTGCCTGGATTGGTCTCCTTCCTGGCCTTGATCCAATAAAGAGCACGTCTCTTCTGTTTGTCTTTGGTTCTGCAACGCATAAAGAAAACAAAAATCAGGTTGTTAGATCAGAGGAAGGTACTCAAAGGACATACAGGTTAACATTTTCCACCATCTATAAACAAAATGATAGAGTCCTATTACATTCACATTAACGAAGTTTAACTGCATACACACAGTAGGGAAAAAAAAAAAAAGAAAAAGAATTTAAACAGTGAAAATGATTCAATGGTTCCTCTGGACCATCTCATGCCCCAGGGTAAACCTGAGAAAGGCAACAAATCCAGATTCAGTGTCTAGGAGTATCTCATATCATATAACATCACCTGATAAGCATCTGGGTTATGTATGTGTTTTTTTATGATGAGATTTATCCCAAGAACAAAAAGACCTATGAAGAAATTTTAAACCTCATCCTATAGTTTTACTGTTAGTAGGGATAATGATTTAGTTACTTTAAACTATCTGTTGCAAACTGAGGAAAAAGTTTTTATGTTTTGTTAATGTTGACAGGTACCAAAAGTTTCAGCAAAAGAGAAAAAGAAATACAAGTACAAAATCAAAGAAGGAAACAAAACCCCTAATAATCTTGAATTGTGAAAGCCGAATTGGAAATATCAATATGAACTCATAAATTATCATACTCAGAAAAAGCTACCTTCACCTTATCCCCCAAACTGTCACCATCTATCTACTCTTCATCCTGAAAACTGCTAGAGACAATATAAAGCTTTCCAGTTGTAACTTTATTTAAAAATTACCAAATATGGGGCGACTGGGTGGCGCAGTCGGTTAAGCGTCCGACTTCAGCCAGGTCACGATCTCGCGGTCCGTGAGTTCGAGCCCCGCGCCAGGCCCTGGGCTGATGGCTCAGAGCCTGGAGCCTGTTTCCAATTCTGTGTCTCCCTCTCTCTCTGCCCCTCCCCCGTTCATGCTCTGTCTCTCTCTGTCCCAAAAATAAATAAATGTTGAAAAAAAAAATTTTTAAAAAAAATTACCAAATAGCTTGCACTGATGAGGAAAAGATTTTTTAATAGATGAATGCCAGCTAATAAATATAAAAATAACTAGGGAAAAATATGATTTTAATCACGTAACGATCCAGACAATTATCACCAGTGAATACGAAAACCATCAAGGGAAAGGGTGCTAATAAACCGCATATTCACACAGTTACCTAAGTGCTCTCCACACATTACCTACTGTTTGCAGAGGCCATAATGTAACAAAGGGAAGAATAAGTCTGTTATTTTAACCATTTTAACCCGGTGAACTCAGTATTTCTGTCACTTACAGTGGGATAACCAAACATATATAGTTTGATGATATGAACAATGCCTACAAAGTATTAATGACAAAAAAATGTTTGACTTGACTTACTGACATCTTTAGTTCTTCTTGTAGCTTACAAGAAATAGAAGGGGTAAAGAACAAGATAAATGACACCATGAGGAGGCAATCAGGCAAATCTAGGTCTGAAAATCTGTAACTCTATAAGACAACAGGCCCAGGTTTGTCAACAAGTCACTAACATGGACAAAATGAGAAACTTTAGATTTATAAGACAAAATAAAATGCAACTCATGGTCTTTTTTGATTGAATGCTAGTTTCAACTGTCATTATAAAAAGCATTTGAATTTCCCAAAGGGGAAATTTTAGTATAAACTAGGTATTATCCAATATCGAGGAACATTATTCTTACTGGGTGTGACGATGGTGGTATGTTTGTACAGGAAATGTCCCTAACTTTTGGAGATGCATTCTTGGGTATTTAGAAGCAAAATGTCATGATTAGAGTTAAAAAACTAAAGTAAGTATTTTCTGTATAATGTAAGCCATATAGGTCAGCTTATAATTAAGTGAAGAAAGTATAATCTGTTCCAATGATGAAGTGTTAACATTGCACCCTTCTTAAGGATTTTCAAGGATAATTTTGTTTATATTCAATTTACACTTTATTCAATTACTTTGGGACCTAATCTCTATATAGCATTTGACTGTTGTAGTTAAGTCTGTGGAGTTGTATTCTAAGACATGAGAAAAATAAAAGTTTACCTTTTTGATTGTAACTTTGTAAGAAACCTAATGGATTTAATTAACTGACATAGCAAAATCCAGTCTTCAACTAAAAATATTCCATGATATGTACAAAATAAGCATGTTCTTTAACTTAAGTACTGAATCATTCTTTGACAGCAATTTGAATTTTTTTTTACTCACATCAAGCAATGTTTTTGTTAATCTCTGTAGGTTTCTTTCTTTCTTTTCCAGCTCTTCCATCATCTTTTGAGTAGTCAATTTTTCTTGAGAAAGCTTCCCTTGCATAGACTAGAATAAAGAGAATTGGAAAGCAGAGAATGTTGTTAATGCTAAAAGCAAAATGCAGTCAGGTAGGTAGACAGGAATACAGGCTCTGAAATACTTTGAATCTGTCCTCCCCCACCCCTTGGAAGATGAAGCCTTCATTTTAAAACAACCCTTACTGCATCTAGAGTGGATGACAACAAAGGAAAAAACAAATATCATCTTTACCAAGAAAGTCGACAGTCTGGGTAAAACATGTTAAACCTAAAGCGGCTGGTGTTGAATGCTATGTTACAAACAGCTCTTACTAATTGATTTTTTGTTCATGTATTCAGAGTGTTTTAGCAAATCTATACCTCCCATGCTCCACACCCCATTTTTCTCGTGGTTAATAAAATACAAGATAATAAGATCATAAGACCATCCTCATTTTCTATCATTTGAAACATAGCTAAACACACTTCTCTCAGTGTATGGTATTCTGAGCAGTGAATATGATGAATTCAGGCCAAAGGTCTATTATGGGACTTTGATAAATGAATCTCTTTCTTAACTCTATAAATTACAAATTATCCATTGTAATAAAATTCTGAGTGTACCAAAACAGTATATAGGATATTTTAAGAGTACTTGGGTCACTTCAGCTGCTAAGTCTGATTTTCAGCTACACACCAAAGATAAACTTGCCATAAACTCTGTAGTTATCAGTGGTTTCTAGAGGTTTTAATTAACACTTTTTCCTTTTGTGAAATCACAAGATCAATAAACATTTGACAAGAAAAGAGATTTCTTTTTTTCCCCCCTCTCAGGACTATATTTATTTAGTCCCAATTCTGAAACTACTTCAGCATGCTGACTGCTTAAATAGTACACAATACATTATGAAGGTTTCCCCCCGCTCATATTATCTCTGGCTAGAATAAAAGAAGATAGCTGTCACCATGGGTTGAGATAAGATTCTGTAAATATAAAGCAGTTTTCTTATTAACAGATATTCAATTTTGTAGCTTATTACTTGGATTTGTTTGCTAAACTCTATACAAAATTTGTTTACATTTAATAACTCATAAGTTGGTTACAAATGAATTATGCTCTGGCGTGCCTGGGTGGCACATTCAGTTAAGCATCCAACTCCAGCTCAGGTCATGATTTCCCAGTTCATGGGTTTGAGTACTGCGTTGGGCTCTATGCTGACAGCTTGGAGCCTGGAGCCTGCTTTGGATTCTGCGTCTCTCTCTGTCTCTGTCCCTACCCAGCTTGTGCACAGTTTCTCCCTCAAAAATAAACATTAAAAAAAGAAAAGTGAATTAAGCTCTATAACAAGTGTATTTCCTTCCAGGGAAAACTTTATATCTCACAAAATTTAATCTCACAGCAGAAAGTCACATGGATTCTGAAATTCCTTTGTAACTGCATGTGAATGAACCAAAAACCTATTTGAATGATATGTATTTATTTATCTGGCTGAAGATCTAAGCTTACAGGCATAACAAGATTATCTGACTGGAATCCAGAATTTATCCTAAATTTTCTTAAGATTTTTGACTATTTATCTTATTAGCATTGTGGAGGAAAGGCATAACAGTTAAGCTACTCTAAATCTAACATTTTAACAATAAAATCTGACCCTGAGAGGTATTTTCACAATACTATAATGTAATCTAGTGTTTTATATTTTTACCAGTTCAGTCATACTGAATGTGATTAATAATTAGCAAGCAAATCTGACTAACATGTTCATATATAAGACTAAATTTAAATCAGAAACAGGCAATTGTCTCCATCAGATTAAATATGAAATGTTTGGCATTAGTGCTATTTTTCATAAGAAAAAAATCTGGATTTGGGAAATATATTAAGCTTAAGATGTTTGTTATGTTGGTTGGGTTCAGGGTACTTATGAAACAGTCCTTTAATAGGGGAAAGAGTTCACAGATAAACTTATCCTAAAAGGCCCATATGTTGTATAACCTCTAGACTAATATGAGGGTATGAGTGCCATAGCTGTCTGACACAACATTCTATCTATAAGATTATTTCTCTATCCTTAATTGTATGAAAAAGCATATGTTTAAAGCTTAAGAAAAAAAGAGAGAGGAAAATTTCCAGTAATCTTAGAACGGGATTACTAACATTAAAAACTTTAATTTTCAAATGTCTACAATATGTCTATAAATCTCCAGTTAATCATCTTTTAAAAATTCTAAGTTACTAACCTATATATATTTACCACATTCTTTTTAAAAAATTTTTTTTAATGTTTATTCCTTTTTGGGGGAGAGAGAGGGTGGGGGAGGGGCAGAGAGAAAGGGAGATAACAGAATCTGAAGCAGCTCCAGGCTCTGAGCTGTCACCACAGAGCCTGATGTGGGGCTGGAACTCACAGACTATGCGATAATGACCTGAGCCACTTAACCAACTGAACCACCCAGGCACCCCTATCACAATCATTCTTAAAGTTGAAAAATGGTTTTTTTTTTTTGTTTTTGTTTTTTGTTTTTTTTGAAAAATGGTTTTAAAAACATTTGTTGTTGGGGCGCCTGGGTGGCTCAGTCGGTTGAGCGGCCGACTTCAGCTCAGGTCATGATCTCGCGGCCTGTGAGTTCGAGCCCCGCGTTGGGCTCTGTGCTGACAGCTCAGAGCCTGGAGCCTGTTTCAGATTCTGTGTCTCCCTCTCTCTGACCCTCCCCCCGTTCATGCTCTGTCTCTCTCTGTCCCAAAAATAAATAAACGTTAAAAAAAAAATTAAAAAAAAAAAAACAAACATTTGTTGTTTTGATCTAAATATCTAGAAATGCTATCTTTTGTCCCATAAACAAAATAGCTCAAATGAAGGAAAGACAGCTGTGCCTTCACCAATACATATCATGTATTCCACAAACCCAATTTAAGAGAAAGTATTTTGATTAAAAACTTATGTTAGCAGTTTTACTATATAAACACACACAACTCCATCCCAAACAATGCACCTATATGCACGCACGCGCGCGCACACACACACACACACCACACACAAAAACACCATACAAGAGTTTCACAAATACATTTCTTCATGCAATCATTCATTTAGCAAAAATTATAACCAAGCACAGTCTGTGCACTGGATGATGATGCCTCAGTGAATAAACAGTCAAAACTCTGGCCCTTTCATAACTTTTACTAGGAAGTAAAAGATCAAAGAAAATAAACAATGTGTAAGTTATAGTATTTTGTATTAGAATTTGACTAGCGCTTTGGAGAACAAATTAGCATGGCAAGGGAGAGGAGGTGGAGATGGCAAATGGAGCAGAGTATAGGCTCATGGAAAAAAGGTGACGTTTGAGCAATGGCTTGAAGGAGGTGAAAGACTGCATCTCATAGATATCTACAGTGTGTTTCAGTCAGTGCAAAGGTTCTGAGCCAGATGGTGTCTTCTGTGTTGAGAAAACGCCAGAGAGCCAGGGTGGCAGAAAATAGTAAAAGATGAAGTCAGAGAAAGCACAGATTGTGTAAGGCTGCTGAGCCAGTGAAGAGACATGACATGATCTGGTTTTTGTTTAATAGGTCACTCAGGCTGATGAGAATAGACTTCAGGCAACCAAGGATGGAAGCAGGCAGAAATAATTCATATGAAGAATAAAGATGTGTTGGACGAGGGTGGTCAGGAGAAGTCAGATGCTAGATATATTTTGAAGGTAATAAGATTTGTTCACAAATACGAGGCAGAAGAGAAGGGTAAGTCTAAGGTTTCTGGAGTGAACAAATGGAAGGAAAATTTTTCCATCAATAGAGAAGGGCCTGAACATGGATGGTAGAGTAGGTTTTACTATTTTCTCTTTGGGAAGGAAAGAAATTCAATTTGGATTTATTATGTCTGATATGTCAAGTGGTACTGTTGAGTAGGGAGTTGGATGTACAAGTTGTAAGGTCAGGAAGAATTATGAGCTGGAAGAAGTTAGGGAGTAGTGAGCAGACACATTACATGCAAAGCCATGGGACTGGGCAAGATCACTAAGACAAATACAGGTACAGAATTCTAGGAAAGAAACAGACCTTTTTTGAAATATGGTACAACTTTTTGAAAGCATTTTACATGTCTGCACAATAAACTTTAACTTAAATATCACAAATACAATTAAACGTATCCCCCTAAATTATAAGAAAGAAAACTTCTAATAAGGTACTTTGTCCAATTTTTATACACTAGCCTACTAGTCTGCCTATATCTTTATTATAATAGGATTTATGTTACAGATGTTAAATTTATTGTGTCCAGTTAAATAAAACAAGAAAATAACAACAAAAACTTTAAAAAGAAAGTTCTTCTAAAATTTTTTCATTTAAAATTTTATTGTATGTATTTCAATGATCTAGATATAGGGCATAAGTAAATCAGTTTGAATTTATTATTGAGAACAGATACAAAGTTTCATGCTGTTATGATTCCATTAGTACAAATACCACTATTCTTGTAACAGCTTACGTAACTATACATGAAAGGTAAGATCATGGCGCTACTAGCATTAGAAATAGCGGTAAGAAGCACGTACGTAACAGAAAGGTATTAATGGCATCTACAAAGCATTAACAAGGGGAATGCATTCTCTGAATGAAATTGATATTTTTTTCTCAACACCTTTTATTTTATTTTTAAATAGTTTTTCTTTTGTTTTAATGTTTACTTATTTTGAGAGCAAGTACGCCATGTGCACCAGCAAGTGGGGGAGAGGCAGAGAGAGAGAATCCCAAGCATGCTCCACACTGTCAGTGCAGAGCCGGATGCAGGGCTTGACCTCACAACCCGTGAGACCATGACCTGAGCCTAAATCAAGAGTCCGATGCTTAACTGACTGAGCCACCCAGGTCCCCATCAACATCTTTAGAAAAACTAGTTAAAAGAAAGATCATCTCCTAAATGAGGCCACTCCTTAAAGACTGGGAGAGGTGGCTGTTTTACCTAATGCATAGAAACAACCACACAGGGTCAAAAAAATTTTTGACAGAGTCAAAAAGAACCAGAGGAATATATTCCAAATGAAAGAATA